TTCCGAAGTGGCAGAGTGGTAACGCTGGCGACTTTGATTCATCAGGTCATGGGTTCGAGGCCCACCACGGTCTAAGATAAGAAAGGGCATTCACTCAAGGTTACGTTCGCACTTGCTAAACCAAAGTCCTTCGCAATAAGGCAAAGTCCCTAGCCCCTAATAGAATAGAGACTTAGTGACGTAAAACGATCATATTTCCTAACTTCGTTAGCTCGCTCTTCTTCTTCTTCTTCTTCTTCTTCTTCTTCTTCTTCTTCTTCTTCTTCTTCTTCTTCTTCTTCTTCTTCTTAAGTGCTTTACTTAACTGAATACCTCTGCAGCTTTTGACAGGGACAATATGGCCCAATATTGATTCTATTCATGCCGTGTTTTCCCTTTCCATTTGCCCCCCTTGGAAAGGGAATGGGAGGAAAAGAGGGGAGTGATTGGAAAAGGGGGAGAGAAGGGTTCCAACACATACTTCAGCTAAGGGACGAAATGGACCACAGGAAAGAAAACGAAAAGAAAATAAATAGTTGTGATATGATAACTAAGAGACAAATGTCTAATTGACAGTGACATAGTGTGCAAAACGTCTGTCTCTGATTAGTTTATATACTATTTTCAGGGACATTTCTTTACACCGTCTTGTCACTATTTCCTTGTTTTATTAATACATTTCATTTATTACCAACTTTTTGCCTGTAATGAAAACTGATCAGTCAGTAAGTTGCTTTATTTTGCTGATCGGGAGTTTCCTTCTCTTATCTTGCTTCTCTTTCCAAATTCACTTACTGTATCATCTTCAGCTCTTCTTTCCAAGTGAGGTTTTATTATTATTATTCTTTTAATTTTCTTCATCCCAAGCAATCTTCAGTCTTCCTTTCCTTTCTCATCGTGCACCCAATATCTTTATCTTTCCACCCCACCCCCCTCCTACTCCCAAAAACAAATATCTCTCCCATAACTTTGAAATCTTTGTTAAGCCGTTCATGTATTGTTACATATATACATTAGCCGTAATTATATTCGTAAGGGGGTGGTCGTGTCAAAGCACACACCTGTACACTGGAAGATAATTCATCCCAAGCACCCATCTTATTATCTTTCATTATTCCTAGGATAAAAGCTCTTCCTCGTAGTCATGTGATCCTATGACTGCTTCTCAAATGAAAACTTTTCTGCTTTCTTTCTTCTTCTTCTTCTTCTTCTTCTTCTTCTTCTTCTTCTTCTTCTTCTTCTTCTTCTTCTTCTTCTTCTTCTTCTTCTTCTTCTTCTTCTTCTTCTTCTTCTTCTTCTTCTTTCTTCTTCTTCTTCTTCTTCTTCTTCTTCTTCTTCTCTCTTCTTCTTCTGCCAAGCTTTACAGACATTCGGATTTCAAATTTAATTTCTAATATGTTGTTGTAATATCATATAATACTTGAGATAAGCTAATTGACAGGTATTGCTTGGTAAATGTCCTTCTCTCCTCAATGTGTATCTTTCCCTCTAAGTTTTCTAAATACCAGCTAGATTTCACTATTATTATTATAATTATTATCATTATTATTATTATTATTATTATTATTATTATTATTATTATTATTATTATTATTATTATTATTATTATTATTATTATTATTATAATTATTATTATTATTATTATTATTATTATTATTACATTATTATTATTATTATTATTATTATTATTATTATTATTATTATTATTATTATTATTATTATTATTATTATTATTATTATTATCATTATTATTATTCCTGGTTTTCCTTTCCTCTTTTCTTATTCACCTTCTTTTCTTTTCCGTTCCTCTCCCCTTCGGAATGGTCGTTTGCTTTCACTACTGGCAAATAGGAGAGAGAGAGAGAGGAGAGAGAGAGAGAGAGAGAGAGAGAGAGAGAGAGAGAGAGAGAGAGAGAGAGAGAGAGAGAGAGAGAGAGAGAGAGAAAGATCCCAATGCTTCCCCCTCAGGAGGTTCGAACTCTCTGTTTACTCCTTTTGTGGTACTTCATATGTATTTGACACCTGAGTGATTAACATAGAATAAAAAGTAATTCCTTTTTGGTGACAGGGAATAAAGAACGAAAATGGTTGAATACATGTAGAAATACATACATTTAAAAATACAAATATTCATAATTACCGGTATCATTGCAATGTATAGTTATTAATTTAATTCCTTTATGATATCGTATTTTATTCAACACCTGATTTATTTTTTCTTTTTTAATATTTTTCGGTTTTTCCTTGCATTAATTATAGAACTATAATGATATAGATTTTTTATATACATATTAAATTGTTATTACTAATATATATATATATATATATATATATATATATATATATATATATATATATATATATATATATATATATATATATATATATATATATATATATATATATATATATATATATATATATATATATATATATATATATATATATATATATATATATATATATATATATATATATATATATATACATATATATATATATATATATATATATATATATATATATATATATATATATATATATATATATATATATATATATATATATTATATATCATGTTATTTAAGCATTTATAGTTGTCATTACCTATGGTGTAAATTATAAAATGCTCAAAATATTTCTATATCACGAAGTTCCCCATTTTCTCCCCTTTCAGCTTGAGGGCATTTCCTTCTCCCCTCCTCCTGTGTAGCATTAACTACACTATCCGTCATGTTCATATAACTCTGTCTGGGCTACCATGATTGCCTTTTCTTTATGGCTCTTTCCATCCTGTTCATTCTCTTCTCCCCAGCCTCCGCAGCTTTTATTGTCTGTATTTTTTCGCCTCAGATTCAACTTCCCTTCCCCGTACTTTATAGTGGCATCTTCCGCTGGTTGTTCACCTTCCTTTTCCCCATATATCCACTTTGTCGTCTTCTGTTAGTTGTTTACTTTCCCACCCCCATAATCTAGTATGATATCCTCTGTTAGTTTTTTACCTTCCTTTCCCCATACGTACTCTTCGCCATCTCTCCCCCATACTCCATTGTGGCACCTTTCTCCTCCATAATCTACAATGGCATTTGCCAGTGGTTAGTCACCTTCCCTCTTTTATATTCTGCAGTGGCATATTTCTTACGGAGTTCACCTTCTCTCCCCCGGAATCCACAATGACATTATCCTCAGTTTGTTCACCTTCTCTCCCCCATACTCAGCAATGGCATATTCAGTTGCTTGTTTACCGTCCCTTCCCACAATCCACAGTGGAATCTTCCACTGTTTTTCACATTTCCTCCCTTATATCCGACAATGGCATCTTCCATGATTTTTATGTGCAGCCGAATTGTACCAAAGTGATAAAGTAATGTGAGTCATCTACCCCAAGAGTGTCATTACTGGGCCAACATTACTAACTTTAGTTAATTTGCTGTAACTATTGTATATAGTAGTATTTACTTCTAGATATTAATATCTATCAATGCATTTAGTAAAATGTGTAAATATTGATTTTTTTGCTTAATTCTATTGCTATCAAATCCGGAATAGCACTATGTTTAATTCAGTTTTGCTTTTGTCGTTGGAATCTTCAGGAATGCTGTTAGCAAATAAAGGATAACCTCGTTTCGTATTTCACATATTTCCCGTAGGATTAAACTCTCATTCCATCAGAATTCATCAAATCCAATTGACTCGTCATTTGTTGAAAAGGATTTAGAAATGCATACTCGCGCCCACACACATCTTCTTCTTCTTCTTCTTCTTCTTCTTCTTCTTCTTCTTCTTCTTCTTCTTCTTCTTCTTCTTCTTCTTCTTCTTCTTCTTCTTCTTCTTCTTCTTCTTCTTCTTCTTCTTCTTCTCTTCCCCTTCCCCTTCATCTTCCTCCTCCTCCTCCTTCTTTTCTTCTTCTTCTTGTAGTTGCTGTTAATGTTGCTATTGTTTATATTGTATTACTCTTTACATGGAAGTCAAATTAAATTTTTATAACTATGAGAAAGGAAACCTAGAATAGTACAATTGTAATTAAGATAGGTAAATATATATAGATGGGGAGGAAAAAGGGGTCCACGTGCACCTAGTGGATTTTTTGTTGGCACCTGTTTTATTCAATTCTTTGAAGTGTCTGTTTTAAGATTTTGACAGGTATCACGTTCAAATAATGTCCCAATGGGCTCGTTTTTGCCCTTTATTACAAATAATTAGTATTTGGACGCGAACCCTAGAAACATTAGAAAGTTGCATAACTTTTGAACTAAGCAGCTTGCAGGGACAAATGAACACATTTTTTCATGCAGTTTTGACCCCAAAAATCCATTGAAAAACTATTTTTAAGTTTTAAGCACATCTTGACTCGATATCAGGAGAAAAAAAGCGGATTAGTCAATCACATTTTACTTTTTTCTTTCAGATATGTGTTTGCTGGTAAAAATATGATCTAATCGATGTTGAAGTGATGTACAAAGATGTTTAGACTAGCAATTAGACTATTAAGGACCAAAATTAAATCATACAGTGACTAATCATGGGAAAAAGAAAACATTGCGACACTGCCGAAAACCCTTTAAAGAACTTACCATCGACATTATGTGTTATGGATGACCAATATCTCTCTCAGCATGGTAATTTTACAGACTTTAGTTCTTGCAAGGTGGATCCAGATGATAAGCTCTCATACATTCATGATATTCTTGATTTGAGACTCAGTGAACTAGTAACTTCACCCTACCATATGAATAACATTTGTGACCATATACCATTATGCCAGAAGGATTGTCTTTGGAAACAACTAGTTATCATCAAAACTGTTACAAAATTTTACAATGAACTTAGGTCGCTTTAAAAAATCGAAAGCTTCTGGTTCCGGTTAATCATTATCATCACATATAAAGGATTCCCTACGGCAGCACAAATCACAGTCAGAACGGTCTGATGGGACACGCTGTTCCTTCCTGTTTCCTAATCAGTGTATTTTTTGTGAAAAGGTAGAGATCAAGGTCAGGGGAAAGACTGAACGTCCTGTGAAGTTTCAGAGTTGGAAGCACAAAGTACCAGCCTAGAAAATCATTGCGCCCAGGGCACAAGAAATGAATAAGGAGG